GGGATTTGTAGAGATTGTGGTATTTATACAGTTGGATTCATCGGTCAATTCTCGCTTCAGTTTATTTCTTAAGTATCATACAAATATCGTATCAACTCCAAATAATACTAGAATATTCAGTTACTTCAATAACTAAACTCTCATATTTACGCATAAAACTAATGATCTATCGATACATTTTACATAGAGTATGTTTTCTATTAAACACTAGTGAGATGGTGGGGATGATTTGTAGCTCAGGTGGATGATTTTGATAAAGCTTTGTTCTCTGAGATGGATCGTTTGGTTGTGGAGCTTTCATCGTTCTTCTGAAAGACATCATCAGCATAAAATTCAAGTTTAGATAATTACAATGTAATAACTAAACATATTGATACAATCTAGGTAATAACTGATAGTAAGAATGTGTAAACAATCATTTGAAAGCACTTTCTATTATATATTGCCATTAGAAAAGGGGAATAATAAAGAAGCGTCCGCGCGCGACCCCGATGCGTCGGTCCTAGGTTCGAGTCCAGCGGGCGGGATCGCGGATGCGCACTGATGTGGAGTCCCATACTAGGATGGAACAGCCGATCATTGCTTCCAGGTTTTCCATGGTAATCTAACTTTAATTGACTCATGAACTCAACTAGAAAAAATTAGATTGTATCTGGAAATAATTCCAAATCAATGTAGATAATGGTACAAATGTGGGTCAGCCCAAGTTGTCATACCATATTAAATGATGAAATTAACACGATGAGTAGCGAGTGAGTCATAATAATATAAATATTAATAGATGTGTGTTGTGTTCGGTCGTCGCAATTTTTGTGCCGGAAAAATGCTGATCACTTATAATCGGAACGAGGAACCTCGGCAATTCCCACGATGTGAAAGTAAGAACACACAAGACTGGTATAAGTGAAGATATATTAGCCCCAAAACACTATGACAACGATGAATCAAAATAGTCTAAATTACACTCATTTATATATTGATTGCACACCCATTTTGATCAATAATTAGGATGAAATCACATACTCAGTTATAACAAATCACAGACTGTGAGCATAGTTCATGTCAACTGAATACAAGAATATCTCGTATATTAAACAGAAGAAAATATTATACTGGGATAACAGTAACAAATACTACACTGAATGATCCTCATGTTGAATTAGAAGGGATGTCATGTTGGATAAAAGTCATAATGAGTAAATCAATCGAAAATTGATTTTTCTTTCCATCATATCAATGTGAGAATGATTAACCAACGGGGAATACAGTTCACGAAGGAATAGATGAAAACTACAAAATAATATTGAAGCCCAAGAGTTAGAAGAAGATACATAGTTGATAAGTCTGTATCATTGAGACCGATTCTTAGACATGCAAACCAACAGCTCATTGTAGTTCGATAATAATATGTAAACGATGCTTTGAAAACATTCATGATCATATACATTTAGGTTAAGTATGTATTATGTAATAATGTATGTTTCGTATCACTTTGTCCTACTTTCGAACTCTTTAGTTGTGCAATAACGAATGTAGAACATTCAATCAATAAAAAACCTGGCGGTTAAATGATCAAACTTCCAGTAATTTCTGATATGTGGTATATGATCAAAGCCATTAATCTAACTAAATGTTGTCATCTTATTCTACATTTCTTTCCAGTACTTTGGAAAACTCACACTACACTAGACACCGGATAACTTTGTGGGGCCCTTTATTTTGTCGTCATTTAGATCGAACGATGTTGTCGAAAGGGCTCTCCATTTTAGTAGCCCGGGTTCTGATTCCAAGGAGATTGTAATGATGATTGTTGTTGAAATATATATATCGCATATCCTTGTATATAATCATCGACTTCAATCGCGTTAGTCAATAACGGAATTTAAATACATATACTTTGTATATAGAGCGAATGGAATAGAACAAAGCAAAACGACGCACAGTGGAGAATGGCGGGTAAGTCAACTCCCATTTAACAAAGCGTTAATCAATATTTATAGTTACACAAAAGTAAGTTACAGACATGTGATGAGTAAATGGGATAAGAAATGTACACACACCTACACGCTCATATAAAAACAGTCAAAATTGATAAGCAGATCATTAACAAGGTGAAAATGTGACTCAAGTAGAATGAATAGATTGGGTTATCCGAAAGCTAGAATAAGGTATATGTGCTTAATATAATAACCGACACTACAACTTCTTTTGGCTGCTCTTTTAAAATGAGGTCAATCAGAGGGGAAAATTTAAATTATTGGATTTCATATCGTTTGCTTAGCGATGAATTGATTTCTGGGAAACCTATATGTTTAGCTATATATTTTTAAGATGAAATGGCTTCGTAAGGTCTTCTGGTTAGGGTTATAAATTATCTATCAAACTTTGATCAAATACTAAGTAGAAATGAATGTCTGTATGGTATGTGATATATCTAGAGATTAGATTCTTGATATACCGCGGACTACTTGAACACTAGAACCCTCCCAAGTCGCAAATGGGAAGACAGAAGACGAGTGAGAAGAGACATTATTCCAAACAGTGTCAATTATGGTACAAAACTGTCAGGTATTTATAGTATTTAGTAACAGCGAGATCATCATTATGATCATCCAATCCTCATATAGTGGTTTTTAGCATTTGTCTAATAGGGAAGCTACACGTCGGGATTCCAGGATGTTCTTCTAAAAGATGATTGGATGGAATGTCTTCGGCTCTTTCTGAGCTTCTTAAAGCTACCTCGAGTTCACCGGTGGGCCGTCCTCACAGTATGGTTTGCAAAACTGCAGAAAAATATGATTTTTCTGTTTCTATAATCTGGAATAACGAATGCTGTTTAGAAAAGGCAAAGTATATTAATTATTGTGATAATGTAAAGTGAGAGCTTGTTTTCATCGAGCTTATTTGAAAACAATGTTTTAATGTATCTTACACTTGTTGGAAGAACATGCTGACGAAGACACTCATGGAGAAAATACAGTTTTTCTCGAGTGGAAGCCTACCTCTTGGCGAAAGTCTCCCATTTTCGAACAACGAGCAGCGTACTACCCTCATATGACTTTGAGATGGTGAAGATTTGTAGCTCAGGTGGATGATTTTGTTCTCTAAGCTGGATGGTTTGGGCTTGGAGCCTTCATCGTTCTTCTGAACGACTTCATCAGCACAAACTTCAGGTAGAAGTGAAGTGTCCGAAGTTTGTGCTGATGATGTCATTCAGAAGAACGATGAAAACTCCACGACCAAAACCATCCAGCTCAGAGAACGAAATTCCATCAAAAACAATATTTTAATTCATTTAGTGTTGTAAGAGCAACATATTTGGATTTTTTAACCCTAGACAGTAGACAACATATTGAACGTATTTGATAATCAATGGCTTGTATAGTCTGTTTGATAACTACTATTGTACTTGGTGTAAACTATTTACGCAGGTTTATAGAGAATGACATTTGACGATAAGTCTCTATAGAAATTGACGCAACCTGAAGACGTACTAGAACTAAGGGTCATTGAATTTATGTTACAAGATAGTTTTGAACTCCTTAAACATGCACACTCAGGAATTTATTCAGTATCAAGCGTTGAAGAAGAAAACAATCTTGCAAACACTAAATTTTTAAAAAAAATTTAAAATCAGTGATGCATTTGACACATTTAGTATGTAGCTAACAGTGGATTCCAGGATGCCCATTTTACCTGTCCAGAATTCATCAACTGGAACCAAGTGTTAGTGTTCACATTGAGAATTGGACCTATTACCTTCGGAATTAAATTCTCAACGCGTTGTCCGCTGAGCTACTGAATTCACACAGTCATTCACCTATTCAAAGGGTCTGAAAATGTTAGTAATCGTTTTCAATTTCTTGTCCTCAACATTTGAAGGGAAAAGCACTAGGTCCGAGTTTCAATGTAAACAACACAGATGCTGGCATATACAACTGAAGAATCACGTACCGAATATACTAAAACGTATACCATAATGCTAAATAAAAATAAGCCGTTTAAGATGAGCACATATCAATAGAGAATGATTTATTTTACTCAAACATATAAACACTGGTACAATAAGGCACCAAATAGATATGCGCCACATAAATCATTCGATTTGCATGAGGGCTGGGATACTGCCTGGGTGCCCAAACCGAAGCAGGTGGTCTTCTTAGGGGGCCACACCCGGAGCCTTCGACCTAAAGGTCCGATCCACAAGGCAGTCGAGCAACGTCAGGAGATGCGGTAACATGGTAAGCGGTGACCAACAACAGGTTCATACACCATTTGTTCCTTCAGGATACTGGAGCCCATGTGCACCATTGGTTTGGAATCAGGGTTTTCCAACTCCCACAGGTAGACTCTCTGTATCCACCAACCCAATTAGAACGCCGGCCATTCACTTTTCATCCTTTCAAGTTCGTAAACAACACCGGTGATACAGGAAGGCAGTGGGTAGGACTTCCCCGACAGTGATTGCATGCACGTGGCCAAATGAGAGCATTTTGAGAGGCCGGACCCTCCCCGCTCTTGGTCGTACCAGGCCATTTGGGGGTTAATCAATTGCAATCATGAAATTCGACAAAGGGAAGTTACAAACCATTATCAATAAAATGGAAATGTTTAAAAATGATCAATCTTTCGATAATTTGTCAAATCTCAAGGGAGTTTAGTATATACTGATAAAGGGTTTATCATTTTATAAACTACATATCGTTTCACTTTATATACGGAGGACCTATGACGACTAATAGTAGTATCTAACTAAATAGGACCAGTTATTTGTCTGTTTTTTTTGAAAGAATAAATGAAATTCATTTTTTTAGAAACGCAATTTTATTTTGATATTCAAATTAATCCAATTAACTAATTATTTAAAGTATGAGAGTTTAAAAATATATATATTGAGTATGAAAGCCACTTGGTAATAATAATAAACCTAATACTTATTTTACAAAATGATTTAAGCTACTTATAAGTAGTGTAAGGTAAAAACAAACAAATATGTGGGAATGAACAGATGGTTATTATTACACAAAATGTTCACTGAAAATAGTTCAACGGTAATGAACTCAGATTGTGAAGCGTTTTGTTTTTAAAAATCTATAAGGAATTAGGATAGGGGAATATGTCGGTAAAAACTATTTCCTATAAAATAATTATACTTTAAGTGTTTGTCAATCAACTCTTATCAATTTCATTAGTGTATTCATTGTTTTACCTTGAGGTCCAAGACCACCATGTAACCAAGCTGTACCGTCATTACTACATACTGCAGAGACTGCATATGCTCTTGGTTCATCGATTGTACCAATTCTAAAAGGATAAGGATATAAATAGTGGTTTTGCATTAGTGAAAGTATATCAAAAACGAATGATAGGTAGCGATGATGATATTTGTAAATACGATAAATGGAACATTGAATTTAGTTTTCAGACTAGAAATATTGAGTCATAATTTGTCAAATTGAATTGGCAAGTTTACTTTCTTCGATCAGCTTCTTTTCTATTACCATCTATCTGTGTTAACGCGGATGTATGGAATATTATTTATCCAACAGCTATTCTTGTATTTGACTTGTTGCCTTTTTTCGTTATACATTAACGCAAATTAAGTCGATGAATATGTACGAGGTTAAGGTCGTGTGTGACCGACCTCAAGCAGTTGTCCCTTGGGCACTGCGGTCACGCTCTCAAGTGACTAAGACCACCCTCTAACCCGATTTCCTTTTCAGGTACCTCCAGAAGACCCCTTCCATGGTATGGGTAACCGGGAAGTGATAACTGCCCTCATACCTCTAACAGCACCCAAGATCACTGTCACCGTCTTCCAAACAATAAAGTGGAACTATTACATTCATGTTGCTTTAATCAACACACGTGAAACGGTTGTGTTTCAACTATTTAGTTAGTATTTTAAAGTCTAAATCGTTGCTAAAAGTAACTTTGATAGTGATACAAAGGAAAAGGTTTGTAGATCAGAAGGATGATTTTGACGATCAGTCATATATTCAGGCTCGTGACAATCTGTGACTTTTAACATACTGATAATGGGTACAATGCTGACATTTGAAAACTTTTCAAAATAGTTAACGAATGAACAACTTGAGATTTATTAGGCTTTGATGAAACCATCGCCAGTGAAGGATTTTACACACGCATGTCTTCTTTCGCTGAATCAGTCTTCTTCGACCTTATTATTACAATAGTTTTTTTTGTAACATTATGGCTCGAAGTATCTGGGGCTAAGAGGAGAATGGGCATAAAAACTAGGATCTATCGCTGTGATAAGCTCAAGATGGATTACTTTTATCTTCACATTTCATCCATTCCTTTGGAATTATACCTCTTATAATCAGTTTTGCCTCAATTTCTGTGGAGTTGTGATTCATCGGTTAAGGCTATTAGGTTACTGGGATTAAAACCCACTCAATCTACTTCGGTTTACACAACTGGTTAGTATAACTAGCCCTTACACTTAAACTGTGGTTCGAAATCATGTACATGAACCTGTAACTGGTAAGGAGTAATGATAATAATAATGACAATAATAACCGTTGGTGTTATTCTGGCTCGCTTGCAATTCATTTTGTCGATTCCCTTTCTAATAGCGTTTTGTGCTAGACCCCATGTTGACGTTCACAATCGAATGAATATTGAAATTTTGAAAAAAAGGTTATGTTTACGCCCATTCATCAATAAAATCTTTACAAATACTAGATGCTTGTACTAACGTGTCAAGAAAAAACCCAACATATTCAAACCTACTCGTAAATTGTCGGTTTAATACTACTATCATTTTCAGTATACTTTAAAAGATATGCTGAATTAAGCGGACCATGTCTTAATGCATTGAAACCTTCTCCTGTTCCAATAAATAAACCACCAACACCTGGTATTATACAATGGCCACGCCAACCACTGAAATAAACAAGTGTTTAAAACATAAATAGTAATAATAATAATAATAATAATAATGATAATAATAATAATGGGAGAAGTTCAGTTAGGAAAAATGCAACCAGAAACAATTCTTTCAGTTAACGAAGTTACTCTCACTTTTAATGAATAAAGCAAAAGAAAATTACAGCAGAATTTCCACTGGCCTCAACTCTGAGCCATATCTGATAACGTCTCAAGCCACTGTGTCGCACCATCTCTAGAACCCCAACCAGAGAGTCGTGAAAGACAAACAGAAGCCAGTCTTGTAGAGCTCTTCTTCATACCACGACACCATGTCATACAATGACCACCTCTCTGCTTTTTCCAACCGGTCCCAGCGTCAGTAAACAGTGCAATTCGCTGGGACGACATTCGTAGGACATGTCCAAGCCACCGAAGTCAATGTTTCAAGATGGTTATACCAACTGAATTATCATCTCTGTGTCTGAACACACGACGCCGAACCTCCTCTGTGCTAACATCTTGTAGCAACCGGATGCCATCAATCCTTTGGAGACAACAGAGACAACACAAGAAGCCATCTAACATCAACTCGGAGGCCAGGCCTTACAGACATAGGGGAAAACTGCTCTCACTGGAGCGTTATAGATCCGACATTTTACAACCAGACTAAAATCATGAAGGTGCTAGGGATGACGCGGATTGACATAAGCCGCTCTGGCTCTTACTATACGTGAATTGATCTCATCAATCACGCCACCACCAGTACTTATGCAGCTATCTAGATACATGAAATTCTAGACTAATTCTAACTCCTCACTACCAAGTTTGAGTGCAAGTACAGGGTCCTGTCAGCCTTTTAAAGTACTTTGTACTTAGGAAGTGCAAAGCACACGCTATACCTATGAACACTGACTGCCAACTGGTTAGGTGCGGATTGCAAGGCTTGTATATTATCTTACAGTAAGGCAATACCGTCCGCATACTTAAGGTCAAAAAATTTTTCTCCAAGTAACAAATCCACGCTATTTATACTTACTTTTGATAGGATGGTGAAAGTTGAGTTAGATCCGACTTTTGTTTTTGTTCAATATTTTTAATAAAACTTGTTACAACTGTACATGATGTCAGTGGAAAGTCAAGGCGACCAGGCCAATTGCATGGTTCTTTCTTCTTTTTATTATGGATTATTTTCCATTTTAATAAGTCGACCGAATTACTTTTACAACCACCAATGGTAACTAATGTACATGGTGTGATCGGTGTCGACGTATGATAACTTCTTGACGATACTGTTAAACTGGAATCGGCTTCGCAGTAAACATATTTCATTCGTTGTTGAGATGAATCCATATCAATCAAATTACCTGTTAATAATAATTTATGGAATATTTATCACAAAAATAGTCAAAACTATATTACGTAACGATGAACCGGTCGATAATCCAATGAGCTGAAATAGAACCTGGTTGTATCATTAATAGTGGAGGTTCAAATGATCCCAGTATTGATATTCAAAACCGAATTTTTTTATCAGTCTTTGTTAGCATATACGCGTCCAGTAAGAATTGCCTTGATATAGCTATTCTTAAGTTTTCTTTTACTTAGAGCAAGTGAATTGTGATTAACAGTGAAATTCAGGAACTGCGTTTCGTCCTATTTGAAACTTGCCAGCTGCACTTATCTATACCTCAGTTTTGATGTTTACATTAGGACTCAAACCTAGTTAACTCTATCATCTGGGAGGAAAGGGGATTTGTGGGATAACCAAGTCTGTGGATGAGCTCCAATCGCTAGATGTTTTATAAATATTCTGCATTTTATTTTGTAGATTTTCTCAACTACATCACAATATCTCCATCTATGTTGATGCGAAATGATGGAAAGGAAAATAAAGTAGTTAACTGATAATTAGATAAGTGCAATTAATTGATATTAAGACGAGTCATCAGCTTGAATATCATCTACTATTTCACTCCAATTCTATTGACTATTCTTACTTTTCTGTCTTCATATAATCTTCCCTTAATAGAAATTGTTATTAAGTGGAGAAGACACTGACAAAAAATGTTGAAAAGTAGTTAACCTACCATATAGTAAGTAAATATTCCCTGCCTTTCTTTGGCTTCGTAGAGAACCTTCTCGGCCGATAATAATAGCTGAAAACGTATTCTCATCATCTAGTGAACGAATTATTTGAGCAGAATGAGCTGACAACCCAGCTCCCTGAGGAAACCCTGTAAGCAGTGGTTCATTCAAAGCAGGAGGTAGCCAAGTATTCGACTGAGTATCATATGTATGTATACCTGGGATCCTGATATGTCCATTCCATCCCCCTTTATTAAAATATGCATCACCATGAAGGTTGAATAAAAATGGCAACAATTAAATAGGACAGATGTTTTGTATATGTATCCAGATCTAAGTATGTTGTACAATACATTTAAGTTTTGATGTTAAATGACTGAAGGAAATTGGTGGAAAGCATCGGGCCTAGATTTTATGTTAGTTGACACTTATCTGCAAAACAGATCCTTGGTTTTGAGAGAACTGTCTCCCCCTGGGGGTTCGAACCCGCGACATTGACTGTAACACTAATTGACATAAATTCGAATAGCACAGAAAGTGTCGGCCCCCTTAGAACCATGAGTTCATCTTGCTGACAAGTGTGGCCTAGCAACAAAATATAGGTGCATGGTTTCTTTGACTATGAAGCCTCAAAACATACTTTAGACGTTAAATTACCTCAACTAGCAGAAAAACTGAAACTTGATCAATAGAACTCTACTAGCAATAAGAACAAGATAACCTCTGGGCATGTCGAGATAAATCCAACCCAGTAAGTTTGAGGGATAAGGTTGACCAGCTACATGATGAGACCTACTCTAAAAGACAAATAACAGGGTTAATAAGATACAACTGATAACAAGCAGTGATTAGAATCGACTGATTTTACACTCGTGGGATAGTTCTATGAGGCCCACTACCATTTTCGGCAAGCTTTGATCTCATTCAGAATGCTAATTGAAGCTCAGTAACTGAGCCCTAGAGTTCTGAGAACGTGACACCGCCAATAATTATATCGTGTTTTGACATGCTACCGAGTTTAATCCAAGTGTTATAAATATAGAATGACAAAATTAGGGAATTCGTCTCCTGAGTGAGCAACTATGATCAATCGACAAGAGAATAACAAAAACGATTGGCCGGATGATAACCCTACCTACAGTTTCAGTTAGTCTCTAGTTGAGAGAAGATAGGTTAGGAAATGTAAGTAACTACTATTCCTGACCCGACAATCCACTATAGATACCCCTAGGGACTTCAGAGATGAGAATTACACAACTACAATGTTACTACTTAACATACTTTCATATTAACGGTCATTAAATGTGATTGATACAAACTTACCAATAAAAACAAGATATCTATCCTTGAAAACTAGACATGTATGCTGACTAAGAAATGGTGAGTCTGAAGATGTAATTTCCATCCACTGGCCTATTGTAGGATAAAGCTGTATCTTGTAAAAACAGTTGCTCGGCGTTTTACATGATGCATCATTAGAAGTTATTCCGCCGTGCAGATAGAGATCTCCCCTTATAATGGCACCTGGAATATTTTGTTCAGAGCATACAAAAATATGTTATACCAGCATGACTTTGTAGCGCAGGACCAATCGTGCCATTTGTTGCATTAACCCACTGAAGAGAACATCGCTTTGTCATTTACTAAAGTTTAATATTATGTAACATATGTGAAGTGAACATTTTTAGCGACTTCGACATAATCCTTTTTATTAGTGTATACTTGTAAATGTAATGGCATTAAAAGTAAATTGAATGTATTAGTAGTTGAAACAATCAAAATTCTCATCCTACTCTTTAAGTTTAAGAGCTAACCGATTGAAATGTGAACAGGCGAAGCTAAAATGGTAACATTACAATCTCGATAGTTTAGTCAAAATTTAAATAGGCACTAATATGATTTTGTCGAAATCTAGACCGCGAAATAATTATTCATTCTTAAGAATGAAGGCTAAGACTGTGATTCATGGACGGTCTGATGAGATCGAAGATGGTAGTTCTCAGACCTTGACGTGGAATTTATTCATATATGGGTTTTTTGTGCCATTTCCCCAAAAAATTTTATAGCGGCTTCCCCAAAATTGGGAGATTGGGTATATATGGCTAAATGGCATATTGAGGTCATAGCTGATGTCATTTCTTGGTGAAATTTACAGCCTCACCTGTGAATTTAGTATCTTAAATTCGTAAAATTTAAATTTAGAACCACAAACCGGTTTTTTAGCTGCTTTAACAGAAGTGAAAATGTCATGATTGTTTACGGATAAGAGCAAAGGGATATCCACTTGAAATAAAAGAAAAATTTGCTTTCGCTATGCAAATTTTAATGAATAGCGGACAGTATCTATCAGATACAACGGAATCATCACCTTTTAATTACCAAAAAACACAGGGAATAAACTCAACTACGGTTTGTAATTTCGGCAAACGACGTAGCAACCAATCAGAATAAAGCGGTTTAAATGGTTTGAATGGTTCTGCTGTGTTGTGTCTCCAGTTTCTGAGTTTTGTCCCTAAGGTTTTTGTTAGGGCTAAGCTTAAGTAGGTGTTTAAGGGGATGTCCAGAAGTTCTTAGTATGCTGTAAGCCATTAGAAGGTCACTTCTAAGACATCTGTACTCTAATGGGTAAAGGTTCAGTGATTGGAGGCGCTTTTCATAAGGCATGAGTTGGAGTCCACGAACAGATTCCTTTGCTTGCCGTCGAACACCTTCCAGAGTGCCTTTATCCTTTTGATATGAGGGCAGAAATACTATGTTTCAGTACTCTAAGTGAGGAAGAATTAATCTGTTCAAGATTATGTGGAAAGTTCTCCCGTCTAACTGGCCGAAAATGCGCCTCAATTTTACCAATACAAGGTTTTCTCGAAAGACATTTTTGTCACAGTTAGCGTGTCGGTTTATCCTCTTAGTTACGTACTTTCCTCCAGAGTTTCTCATCACCAGCGAAAAGTAATAAATCTGATGACACCTGCGCTGGAAGAAGAGACCCCAGTACTGAAGGCTGGGGACCCCAGGCAGGCAGAATTATCATTTCCGCCATCTTTGTAAGCAGTGGTGGTCAACCTGCTTCATTCCGTTTGTCATCTGACGTTTTCTTGTCGCTGTAAAATTTAATACTTTCGTGTCCTGAAATTCCGAAATTTATGTGATACTCTAAGTTTTGGTGCCAATTTTTTGAGCAAGTTTCGTTTTCTCAGTTTTAGATACTGTTGTTCAGGTCAGTGTATTCATTTCGGGGTGCTATGATAATTAGAAGTATTCGAATCCTTGTATTAACTAGGAATTCACGAAACAGTACAATTTAAGCCTAATAGGACTAGATGACCACAAACGAACGTACCTTATTTACAATTCGAAGTCAACCAGGGATCAAGTACAAAGCAATCATTAGTTGACACAAACATCACAGGTACTTCGTGCTTTATATGATATAACGATGAATATTTGCGCCAAATCTTTATTCGCATTTTGATTGCATCACTTTTGTAATCATTTAAACTACGGTCAGTGCCACATAATCTTTCACATCCACGCGGTCAGAGCGTTTCTAATTGAGTCCTGTACGTTGTTGTTGTTTATTCCACAGGATTAATTAGTATCTAAAAAGATAAGTTGTTTTAGTCTTCCACGATCTCATAATACAATTAAATACTGCTGACTTCGAATTCTTCGTTGACGAGTTGTCATCATCGATAATTGGAACCTGTAGTCTCATCGCATTTTGGAAAAATAGTAGTAATTAACATCCCATCTGATAATACCCTATATATGCACCGATATCATGTGTTTCCTTACTAATCTGGAGACTAAGAATAGTGTATTGTATATGAGTAAATAATATTACTAATTTCGTCATTTCGCCCGAGATCGTTGGAATATTCGTGTGTATTTATTGACAAATGCCTACCTTTTGACCTGTTTTGAATGTGTAAATCAAGTGATTTTAGATTTATTGAAAGCGCATTTGCCAATAAAACTACTGGTTCTGAACTAACCATATCGAATATCAAAATTATAACTTTCTAGTGAGTTTTTGAGTTTTTTGAAGCATGGAAATAACCGATATGTAAATGAGTAGTAACGTATTTGAACTAATAACAGCCCCTTTCCTTACAGAAGCGACAACCTCATGTAACGCTAGAAATGACCTCGAGGTTTGTGGTATTCTTCCTGATCCGACATATCAGATGTAAATTTGTTACTAAGTAATTTAAAAACTTGTGGTATTTGTACGAACTAATGATTGCCCGCTGATCACTAATTCCAAATATAAAACGTTCGTTTGTGTTCGTCTAGTTCTACCTTATTAGTTAGAACATTAGTTCGAATACTTCTAATTATCATAAAACTGACCAATTCGCTTCTGGTTCTTCGATATGACAGTGGAAATAGGTTTAGTTTAACCATTCAAGCATCATGCGGGAGCTTTGTTATTTCGGGAATCAGCTTGTTTGTTGTTCTTTAAGCCCTATCCAACAGCTCACTATTTCCTTAGGCAGAGGTTAGCTGCTTCGATGCAGCACTCGAGTTTAGGGTGCACGAATACTACATACAAAGTCAAAAATATTTTTGTATCGACATGGCTGAAGGCCCTACGTATTGACCATAGGGTTAAAAACCTTTGGCGGCTATCGCACGGCAGTGCGCAGTAGTTCTTAAGTCTTGGCTAATGATGATTCTTAGGTCACTGTGTTTCTGGACAACATGTAGCTCAATGTTGTTCGTCGTGTATGTATCTACAGTGGCACTGAACCCCAATCACACAACTTTGGAAGCCGAGCATATAATTACCGAAAAGATTTATATTTAACAGTCAGCACGAAGAGACGGTTGCTGTGACGACGGACCAGGGGTGGACTCGAGAATTCTACGTGTAGCCTCCTGATTGGTCAATGCTAATAATCCCATGTACGCGGATTGGTGGACTGTAATGATGATTTCGTTCTTACTAAAATCTATAAATATCTGACAAGTTTGTACTATAATTGACACTGTTTGGAATAGTATTTCTTTCATTAGTCTTCCGTCTTCTTACTGCGACTTGGAAGGGTTTTGGTGTTCTAGTGCTCTGTTATACGCGGTACATCAAGAAACCAACCTTTAAAACATAACAGTTGCCAATGGAGAACGCGGGAACATTCAATTCATTTCAATCGAATGGCATGGCTAGTCCTTGAAAACGTGGTCATTCTGTATGTCCTGTCTTTATTCGCTTTCAATACATTACTCTATCTTTGGCCTAAATGTGTTCTTCAGAAGTACTAAGTATCATATCGCTAATTATCACGATACGATAAGTCAGTGCTGACAATGACTAGACTTCCACATAAGATCTTATGGATTAGGTGGTCAAATCATGACAAATTTACCATTTTAGGATTAGGTTTATTATTAGAGCAGTACTAATATTGAACTTAGATCATAATTCTGCATATCTGTACCTTGGTGACCAATATGCATCATAATGCACTTGGAACAATTTATCAACGACTGCCAAATTTTATACCATTCAGATAGTTTCTTCAGGTCATTTTGAAGCATTGAGCTACCACCCCTACTTTTGATCGCTCTTCATATCTTGACGTCGCCAACATATGATAAAACCGATGGTAATAGGAGAGGAGGAGGGTAATTTACACGCAGTAGGAACAACCATAAGTTGCCTTTGCTTTCAATATTTCTTAGCTTGCATAACAGCCGGATGTGAGGAACTTTGTCAAGAGCATTGAAGAAGTCAATGTAAAATGTATCTACAAGTAATTATGGTTTTTAAGAGCCCGTCAACTTTCACAAGCCACTAATAAGTTAATGAGGCAGGAATAACATATTCTAAAGCCATGTTGCTTTTCAGAAGGAATCCGGTCTTAATCGAGATACGTAAACAGCTCCTTCCGAATAATTTTTTCTGGAGTTTTGACAACAACGATGGTGAGGCTAACAGATCGGTAGTTCTCAGGTTTATTTCTCGTACATGTTTTAAAGACAAGACTTATTATGGCGCTCTTTCAGCCGTTTGTTAATCGGCCCTGGTTTAAAGATAGATTAAGACATTTTCTTAATGGATTCGTAACGAAATTCGCTAGTTACCTCAGTAACCTAGGATACCTTTCACCAAGTCCCGTGGATTTGTCTATATCAAGCTTATTTGGCAGACCAAAGACACCAAGTACTCTAATGGCCACATTGTCCAGTGTGTGGGGATTTGTATAAATTGACGGGAAGGGTGTCTCTGAGGTATATACATTGCTAAAGTAGCTTGGAAATACTTCAGCTTTACTATGGTCGTTCTCCCCCAATGATGGAGTATTACTGTCTCCCCGTAATACTTGAATATTTTTTCATCTTTTGTCCTTTGGTTTATACACAAGTACAAGCATTAAGGGCATTCTGTAGATTCATTAGCAGCTTTTTCTTCCTGCAACCTTCTAGACTTACGATGGGTTGAGGCGCTAATACCTTGAGCTTCTCGTTATAGAGATTTTGTCTCATTAGTACCCAGTAGGCTAAATCTTCCCCACATTCTTCAACTCTTGCGAAGAAGGGTGCAAACCTCCCTACTGAACCATCGTGGAGAGTTTCTCGGACACCTTGGTGTAGTCCAAAGGATGTGGGGTGAGGTAACTTTTAAGCATAAATTTCGAAAAACATTCCAATCAGTTTCAGCTGAAGACTCTGGCTCTATTATTCAATCTACTGAGGATGTTGAATGCATAATATCTTTTACATTTGGTTTCAAGACGTTAGGTCTGGGTCGGGCTTACGCGTGCTCGTTTTTGACAACTATGTGGAAGTCAAAGTTTAGAACTGAATGATAGCTTTCATCTAGGGATGGTATGCAATCGAGGTTTGTGACGTCATCCTTATAATGGATCAATATGAGATCTACTCAGGATGATTCGAAGTCCGGGTCGTAACTAGTTGCTTCTTTCACATGTTGCACTGGAGTCCATGTGATCACCGCATCAACTAGTTCATATTCGAAAGAATTTTCTAACAACTGAGTCCTCAGGTTTTTGTAGTCTACCGTAGGTGAATTAAAGTCTCTCAAGATTAAACACTGACCACTTCCTAACCAACTATTGAGACCATCTAGCAAGACGTCATCCAACTCATAGTTTGAACTGAGGCAAGTCAAACCAATCAGCATCTCTTGTCTCTGCATTTCAAGCGATAACTAATCCACAAAGTTCGCTTTCATTGAATATGTTATCGACAACGGTAAATCGGAGTATTCTTAGTGAATAGAGCCACTGCATCTCCTTTGCGCTTCTGGATTCTGCCGGTTTTTACTAATGTGAAACCTCCCAAATCAAGTTTTCTACTGCCTGTAGACTGCGTTATCTGACTTGTTGTGGCCATGATTACGTCAGGCTTGATAGTCTATATGTACACCTAGCCTTGATTGCCCATTGAGCAAGCTTTCGGCATTTGTGTAACAGATCCGAAGTCAACTTAAATGGTTTCGTGCTACACACAGAGTGGCTCCGGCATCATTTGCTGTCGAAGCCTCACAACCCGAACATTAACAATTTTCAGGCCCTTTTCGCCAGCATCTAGACTAAGTTTTAGTTTTCTTTCAGCTTCTCGTCTCTT